CCCCCCCCCCCAAACGCCATACAATTTCCTATAAAAACAAGTCTATAGTAAATCCTATATATAAAGTGGGCACATTTCATGCAGGGGGGTAGTACAATCCACGTAGCCCCTGCTCCAGAGTACCGCAGCCCGCAGCCGCGGTACCGTCCGTAGCAGAGGAGCGAGGGAGAGCGAGAGCTTGGGGAGAGTGGTCACGATGAACACAGTCTCCGTGGGGATTCCTATCAACAGCCCCCTTCGACAAGACGGCTGGGCTAAACCGCGTCTGCCGAGAGCAAGCGGATGGCATGCAGTTTGTTTGCCGCTGCGGACACAACTTCGGCGACGGTTCAGGAGTCGACGAGGGCACCGCCTTGCAGCATGAGGCTTCGCACACGCACGAAGAGTGAGTGTAGAGGAATGAGGACCATTTTGTGAGATTGCCTTGGTTGCATTATAGTATAATCTGCCTCGCAGCAGCAGCAGCAGCAGCAGCAGCAGCAGCAGCAGCGATAGCTAGAACAACCCACACAACAACCCACAGCAAGGTTGGACGCAACCAAGAGTGCGCGAATGCGGAGCCCTCGCGATGCAACTGCCGTCGTGTTGTACCCACCAAACGTGGTTGTACTGCTGCCCGTGTAGCTGGCAGCGGCGTCTGCGTGTGTGTTGTGATGCTTCCCATGTAACTGGAAGCATCAGTAGCGGGAGCCTCAACAGCAGAGGCAGAAGCCGCAGCGGTAGCTGAGCAGCATGACAACTTGTGACAATTTGAGAAAAAATGCGCGAAATGCAGACCGGCACCACCCACAAGGCTGTGTGCCACGGGGATATTCGTGCCTCTGCAGAAGAACTGGCCTTTACATTGATTGGTGTCCCCTGCCCTTGCCTGCCACTTTCCGCACGCCCATCGCATGCGAGCAGATCGCGTTCGCCTGTTTGTTGCGAAAATCGCTCAGAAGAATAGCAGTGGCAACTGGGTTTGCACCACGTGCCAGCACTCTTTCGGCTCCGGTGAAGAGCTGACCCAGTTTCATGTGAACCAGCACGAGAGAGGTCGACCGCACACATGTGAGGGCGATGGCGGTCGGTGTCCGCAGTTGCATTCTCGAGTAATTTGGACTGCTCACTTGTGCTTACCAACATTTCAAGGCCTCGCAAGACCCGTTACTTTGTCTATCCTCGCGGCACGCATGTCGCGCAAAGTATCAATGGGTGCATGCAGCTTTCTTTGTCGATGTGTGCGAATGCGTCGCCTACTACAGTAGAACGATTAGATAATTATTCCGTCTCTCAACGGCGGATCAATCAATATTTATTCACATCCGCAGGCGTGGTGCTGAAGCTAAGCGTCAGAGGAATACAATGCTGAGGTTTTTTAAACCGACGATCACTACGGGCGGCGGGAAGGGGTCGAGGGACGTGATGGATAGCAGCGGTGGCGCAAGCAGTGACGTTTAGGTGGTTACGACGGGAGTTGCAGGCGGGCGTGAAGGCGGAGCAGGCGCGGGTAGCGACGCTGAGGTGGTTGCGACGGGAGTTGAGGGCGGGGGCGGAGGCGGAGCGGGCGCAAGCAGTGACGTTGAGGTGCTCTCGACGGGAGTTGCAGGCGGGCGTGAGGGCGGAACGGGCACGGGTAGCGACGGTGAGGTGGTTGCGACGGGAGTTGTGAACGGGCGTGAGGGTTGTGAGGGCGCGAGCAGCGAAATGGATGGAACTTTCTCCGACGCTGCACACGAGAGTGGTTCGACCGATATGGTGCGCGTCCAAAACCCCCTCCGCTGCGCGGGATTGCGTCCGAATGTTCGGGAGCCTCTTCTCCAACACTACCCAGCAGCTTTGCATGGTGTCGTCAAATAGGGGCTGTCGTGGGAGGCTCGGATAGACCCGAATGGCGTGGCTCTTTACGCCGTGGAATCCGTCTCCCGCGGCATCCTGAGCCCAGGTTGTGCTGGAGCAGTGGAAGAACCAGGAGGCACGTGCGAGCCGTGTGTTGACATCAAGGGTAGTAAGGTTTACAGAGGTGAGACCACGTAGCGAAAAAAACGCGAAATAGGAAGGCACAACTAGGAAGGCAAGACCATTTA